ACAAGAGATAATGCATGGTTATGATTACTCTCAACAAGATTATCGTTAAATTTCAGATTGGTCCTGCCTTCACCCGAAGCAGGCAGCCATTCAGTCCTCTCCTTTACCACAGGCATCTTTGGGCCATCCTTCATCCCTGCTTCCAGTCCCTGGATTCTATCTTTAAGCATATCAGCTTTATTCTCATCTATGTCGCACAAATCCATATAAACGTTGTCTTCATCCAGAGAGTAAATACAAGCCTCATCCAATGGTCGGTCACAGCCACAAACACTACCAGGTCGCGGAGGTAATGGCAGAGCAGAAAATTTCTTAAGGGGCAGCTGGGCGGATTCCTTTGGACACGGTATAGGCTCGATGGAGTAAACATCAAAATTGGCACCTGAGGTAGGACGAGCTGGAGAGGAACGATAGTTGACAGATAATTCTGTGATATTTGTGCGCATCTCATTCATTTTTGTAACCTGAGTCAAATGAGCAGGCTTTTTTGGCACAGGCGGTGGTATTGTCGCTTTAAACCCCCGAATCTTAGCCTCGGATTTTGCCAGGTTTCCTGCAAGTTTAAGATTACTGGGAAGACTGGGGAGTCGTGGTGAGTAAGAATGCCCGTCCTGGTTGGTGATAACGTCGCGATAGGTGAAAGTCAAGATTGGTATTTTATTAAGTTCCAAAGAATCAGCAATCAGCTAAAATTTTAAAATGAGGAATTGATATACAGTTTATATTTAAGTAAGTCATCAGAGTAACGCCTAAGGTAGTAGAAAACTAATAAAATTAGATATAGAAATAAACGAAATATGTTTTATTTTCTTAAAAATTCACACAAAAATTAAAAAATTCATAAAAACTGATTGTATGAAAATAAACTTCATAGAAGCATACGTGGTAAATCTGGAGATTTACATCAGCTTAATATAGCTTTTGATTTATTAAAATTGCCACAAATTTGATTGAAAAAGGAAGGATTTGTATATAAGAAACTGAATATGATGCAAGCATGATGTAGTAAGGTATTCATGTCAAGATCTGGCGTTATTTCAACCCAAATA